AACCAGCTTTTTTGGTTGTTCATCCCGGGTTGCCCTTCATTCATCCTGTCTATGTGACTCTTAGGGAGAAAAGGTGAAAAGCAGTACGTACGGCAAAGTACTTCGCCCCACGTCGTATAGATCAGCGTATAGGAGATCCGCCACCATGACCAAACAGTTCGTCTCCTGTCGTTCTCTTCATTCACCCCTGCGCCCATTCCTCCTCTCCGGAGGGCTGGTCGGTGTGGTTGATGAGGGCCCCTTTAGGGTGGTGCGCTCAGCGCTGCCTAGGCGACAGCCCAGCCCCCGCTAACAAGACGCTCTTATCGGCACGGCGTCACGTCCGAGCCAGCCCCGAGGCCCGCGTGAGGCCCAGGGGCGCCCTGGTGCCACCACAACGATTTGGACGCCAATTTTTAAAACTTTTTGGTAACATCCCGAGGATGGCAAGAGTAGAAGTATACTAGACACGGTTGGCCAATAAAATTCAGAAGCTGAAATGTCCGCATAAGACCGTTCGATGTAAGACTGTGGGTTTGTAGTACGCCCGTACAAATAGCTCTGAACTATGGCGCCTTACGGAGCGAGTGAGTAGGCAATCCGCCCGCCCGCATGCCATGCGGGACAGTATAGCTGCGCAAGCGGACGGGGTTTTCCAGTACCCAGTCGCCCGTTACAACCGCCCGGAATGAAAATCTGTAAGAGCTATTGTTTGGCCAAGTTCAGAGATGAACTTTCAACGACTTACAAACCCAAGCATGGCTGATAGAACCACATTCACATCCCCGTTTACATCACACCATCGTGTCAACCACAGAGATGGTTGTAAATCTTTCAGGTGAGACATCCAGTCACCATACTTTTGTACGGTTGTCCCTCCTGAACAAGCAATACCATCGATGTTTTTATTTTTATTTTGATGTGTAAATACGGCAAGTCAAAAAAGTGCCGGTCAAAAACTTGATCAGTTTGTGGAACATCAAGAAAACGCCATTAACTTTATGCACTAATAAGCTGGCGAGGATTAATCTTTGAACCTCTCATTCACCAAAATCCAATCAGAGGCCAAAGCGGCAACCAAATAGTTTGCGTCCTCGTCGTCTTCCCCGTCCTCCTCGTCCTCCCCGTCTTCCTTCTCCTCCTCCCCGTTCTCCTCGTCCTCGTCGTCCTCCCCGTCCTCCTTGTGCACCCCGTCCTCCTCGTCCTCGTCGTCCTCCTCGTCCTCCATGTACACCTCGTCCTCGTCATCCTCCTCGTCCCCCTCGCCCTTCTCATCCTGTCTGCCGCCGGCGGTGCCAGAGAAGGGAGGGGACCATGACGGGGACCATGACCATGTTCCTGGCGCACGGCGCGTCGCCGTAGGACGGGCGCACCTTGGTGCAGCGGGTGCAGCGGGAGCGGCGCGGCCGGCACCTCCACCGCAGGAATGTAGGTCTGTGTGCCTGTGAGTCCTGGAGCCCTGGAGCCCTGGACCAGCCCGCCTGGAGCCGCCCTGGAGCCGCCTGGAGGGGGGCCTGGAGGGGGGCCCCCACGGGGCACGGGCCGCGGGGATTGGGCCGGCCGGCCGGGTGGTGGGTGGCGGGGGCTTAACGGGACCCTGCACCCCCCCTCCCCCCGCTCCAGCGCCGCTCCGGAGCCGCTCCAGCGCCGCCGGATGGCCGGCCCGGAGAGCTCCGGCGATACTCCGCGCGGAGAGGCGTGCTCGGCTCGGCGGCTCGGCTCCGGCTCCTCGCGGTTCGCCCCGTGCAGCGCCGCGCGCAGCTCGCGGACAGGATCGCGCGAACGGGTCGCGGACAGGCCGCGTGTGTGTGCGTGCGTGCGCGCTTGTGTGTGTGTCGGTGCGTGTGTTGTGTTACGTGATCCGATATAGAAAATTGGTGCATCAAAGGATACTTACATCATTGACATAGGATCGCACGGACAGGCCCTGGACAGGCCGCGCGAGCGTGCGTACGACTGTGAGTGTGTGTGTGAGTGTGTGCGCGCGCGTGTGTTCAGTGTGACGTGACCCGTGACAGAAATTTGGTGCATCGAAGGATATTTCACATCATTGATCTGTTTTGTGCTCCTGCGGGTGTGTCTCTGCTGTGGTGCGTCTGCGGGCGGTTGTGGTGAAGTGTTGTGGTGATTGTGGTGGTGAACTCCTCGGGTGGATCCCCGCTGCACCTCGGGATTGGATTACGCGCCCGCCCGCACTCCTCGCCCAACGGCTGACAACTCCTCTACCTGGATACCTATCACACACACCAGGTGAGATGATGACTGACGCACGTCTCTGACATGATCAATGTATCACCAGCAGCCCTTGTCATTGCGGTATTTTACTTTCTGTTGAGAAGAGGATTTTCTAATATGTTGTAAACGCCCGGCACCAAAGCTGTCACCTCATTTTTCCCTAACCCCCCACACCCAACTTAAGCCTATGCCGCAAAGAGGCTGTCAATGATATTTTTCGCGACAAAGTGTCGTTTGCGTCTTGCCTGCCTGCCTTTGAGCAGCACGGCGAGCGCGTTAGAGACCGGCCGGGGCCGGCTGATCAGCTGTGCGGCCGGCCGGCGCGTTGTTGAGCTCAGCGCGCCCGCAACGCCCACCGCCCGGGCGCCGCCACTGTGCACGTTTGTCTACGCTGCTAGCTGGAACTAGGTTTTTCGAGTCTTCGCAACAACAACAAAAACTTAGGAAACAATACAACGGCTTCCAACTTCTATGGACTTGTACACTTGTATTGGACGACAACCTCCTCTCCCTAAGGTGTATACATACACCTCACCCCTCCCCGTCCACCTGGTACTCATACCCATGCACTTGCTGCGTTCTGCCACATTATCAGGTGTTTTGCCCGCAGGAATAACAGATCCTTTGCCTTATTAGCGGCCTGTAACCGCTCCCGCCCGTTCTCTTATTTAATTCCTCCGTCGTACAACGACCAGAATGCAAAATTGGACCAGACGGCGCTTCGCTATGACGCGCTGCTGTCATGTCAGATTGCTATCCTCCCAGCCAGCCCCGCCCCGCCCGGCTACGCCCCGCCCCGACTCCGGGGAGGTCGCTTTGCTAGCCGAGTGTCGAATCTTTATAATCTGCCTAATGAGTACCTTCCCCTCGAAAATGACAGGGATCACGAAAGTGCGTCGTCGCCCTTGTCCAATCAAACTACACTGACAACAATCCTCGTTGGGGGCGATTAGTTCTCAGCGTCATTCTTCTTGGGGCCGACTGCTAAACGCCGCGCAGAAATAATAATCGCGGCTGCCGGACACAACGTCACCCGTGCTCACATTCTCTCGATATCTCGATTCTTCGCGCAAAACAAAAATCGACTTTACCGCGCAGCCCGCCGCCGGTGTAGTATTCATTCCACTGATCCCGACCGCTACCCGGCCCGACGACGCCGCGCCGCCCACCCAGCCGCCCACGTACGGCGTAAGTACACTTCCCCAATTATTTCCCCCCTTCAATTCCTCGGGAAATTAAATCCGGCCGCAAAGGAGCGCTGCGCGGTGGCGGCGCTGCGCGGCGGTCCGGGAGGTCCCCGTCTCGGTCCCCGTCCACGCCGTCCCCGCGGAGGACCGAACCGAGTGCGCCGCCGCAGTCCAGTCGCAGCGCCCATTATTACTGCATTTCCTCCTCAGCCCCCCTCCCCCCCACTTCCCTGCCTCGCCTCCGAGTCCTTGGCCCTGTGAGACTGCGCCTGCGATCGCGGTAGAGCAGGGTCCGCCACACCACCCCGCCGCCGGCCCTACACGGCGCCGCCCCGCCCCACCGAAATCATAGCCTTGGTCGGCCTGGTCAGCGCCGCTCTCCTCCGCCGGGCCAGCGGCGCGCAGCTGCGCTGCTGCGGCTCATTCTGCTTATTTTTCGTGGATCCACGAATCGATTGAAAAGCGCGGCGCGCGCGCGTAGCGCTCCGCACCGCGGCGATCCTAGAAATGATGATGATGATGATGATCACCTCTGCCGAGGATTATCTGTAACGTATCGCCCCCTCAACCCCCCCTCCATCATCGCCCTTTCATTAGCCCCTGCTGGTCCTTATTCGGACGCAGCCTCGTGTGCATCGGATCGCGAACATTGCCGCGCCAGTCGGTAATTGATTCGCTTCGGCCCTACCTACAGGGCGCTCTTTCGGACGCAGCGCCTCCCTCCTCACCCCCCCCCCTTTTCCTTTGGGATCCACAAGACCCTCTTGTTCTTCCCAGTTTCCGGAGCGTAGCGAATACGTACAGTGGAGCAGCGCTCGGCTTTTTAACTAGATCGATTGATGTTCAACGGAGGTTTCTGATATCTTGGAGCTCGGAGCTAAAACGATCGCCTCTCTGGATCCTTCTTTCTGGGCTAGTCTTACCGCGCGAGGAAGTTTGGCACTTACTGGCAAACTTGGTTGGCAGCATTGTTACCAGATGAGATGACAGTCGATCGACTTTTATTTCTCATATCCTCTTGATTTCGTTTTGTTGTTGTCGTAGTCGTCGCGTTTTGTTCTCGTCTGTTATTTTAAGCGTGTGGCTATTTTCTAAATTTCCTTTTCGGTTTCGGTTTTTCTTTTCATTTGTTGCTTACAAACTTGCATCGAAATTTCGGTTGGTATGGTGTGAACAACTTGTGCAAATCGTGTGTCATTCCACCAAGAGGTGGAAGCAAGTAGAAGGGTCCCCCAAACGTTTATTTTGAAGTTCTGTGGCCGACGACGGGGGACATATCATCGTCATCGCTTTTGGTATGTACAAGTTGAACAGATGAGCCATTCTGAGATGATGCGTTAGATCCTTGCTCTAACGTAACGTGCGAAGGTTAGAGTTGAGTTTGAGGTTAGGTGGACGTACCCGGGTAAAAATCGCGCGGGCAAATCGACTTTCAAAGTTTGACTTCGGAGTCACTAGAGTTGAACATACACGCCCCTCGTTTTACGTTTTACGAATTTCTGTCGCTTGGTGCGTCTCACATTCGCACTCCGCAGTGAACGTGTTGCTTTGTCGTACACATTCCCCTTGCTGCCGGCTCGGCTCCCTGCAGCCTGCATCCGCCGCCGCCGCCGCCATATAGCCCTCCGGGGGATAAAGTAAGCCCTCACATTTGGCACAAAGCCTGCGGGCCCGACGCCGCGCCGTGTCGCTGGGACAATCCTGTGAAAGTCCGCGAGTTGTGTCTGCCGCGCTCATGCGGAGCTCCGCGCCCAGCCGCCGCGCCGCGCCCAAGGCGCTGCCCGCTGCCCCAATGGCCCATCTATCACAACCAAATATACTCGCACACTCACATTCTTCCACATCTTCCTCGTTTGGAGTTTTCCGCGCGCGGGTCGAACCCACTGTGTAGCCCCCCCCCCTCCCCCTTCCTGCGTCCCCGACCTGACCCGCCCCTTTCGCGCTTCGTCTCACTTTAAAAAAAACTGACTTTAAAAAAATAAAAATGTAAAGCCTAGGATTGAACAGGTCTGTGTGTCCCGGTTGGGTTGGGCCAGGCCGGGGGGCCTGGCGGCGGTCAGCGCCTCTAACAAGCAGCAGCGCCCATAAGGGTGTCAGGCTCGGTCAGGCCTTATTAACAGTACAGCGCTGTGACAAACGCGCACCGGGGCGGGCAGGCGACGGATTGGGAGGATGGGAAATGATAACGCATCATAAGCTGCTGCTAAAAAAAAAATATATTTATATATACTGGTGAACAGTTTTCTATTTCTGATCCTGACGTGGAGAGTGGTTTGGCGGGGGGCATAGGCCTTCGGTTCTCTTCCTCTCATCACAAAGGCAAAGGAAGCCAACAACAATTTCTGTTAAATACCTTGGGAACAGTATTCACCTCAAGCTGTAAAGTATTTGAATTTTTTCTTCTTCAAAATTTCGAGTTTTTGCCTTTGAATTGGGTGAAGGCCTTTGCGGCGGTGCTGCACTGCTCCGCGGGCGGCGCTAACGCAGGCGCGCCGCCGGTAACGAGGGGGCGTTCCCTTCAGTTCACTTTCTGCGCTGCGGCGACTAGAGCGCTCATAGCAAGCGCTTAGAAAAAAAAATCAACTTTTTTCTGGATTTATTTTTGCCTCTTTTCTTATGCTTTATTTTTCCCTGCTCTCCCTATGCGTCCCTCCCTACCACCGTTTTGCGCTGTGCGTTCCGTCTTATCTCCATCGATATCGTTTTCTGCTCGCTTTTGCTGTTGCTGTGCGGTCGCTGCAGTTGCTCCTCGCGCAGGTTTCGCCTGTATTATCATTTTGGCCGTGCAAAGCAGCAGCAGCGCACTGTGTCCAAAAGGAAACTGCAAAGTAAGTAGACCCGGGAGGTATTTTGGGACGGCGTGGTGCAGGCGGCCTTGGTCGCGCCCCGCAAGGCTCTGGGAGTAAGAAGTTATGAGGATGATTAACGCGATGAGCCCTGCTTGAGCACGTGCGCGCCCTGGCACTGCACGCGCGTGGCCAGCACAGCTACTGCACTGTTAAACAGTTTGTCGTCGTCTTACGACATTTTTGTCGACAAGCTTTTCCATGAGACAGCAGCATATGGGTCGTTTGGAAACAATCACGTGGGTTATCTCATGACGACCAAGTTCTTGTAAAGTAACGATGTAAGCAGTATGTGTCTGACGATATTGTCGTTTATATGTACTTAAAAGATGCTGTTCTGGAGTAAACTAGGTAGATGTACGCCAGACCACGTCTCGCGTAACAGGCTTCGCGATATCTCACGAAACACTGTTACGCTGCGACGCGCCTGGCATACATCTACCTAGGTCTGCGGCGCTGACACCCGAGTCGGGCAAAAGAAAGAGTCGTAAATAGGCCTTCGGCCCCAAAAGTCACAATTATTGCTCCCCAGGGTTTTATTTTAACGAGTCGACCCTTCAGAGACCATGAAATATTTAAGAAAAAACATTGAAATGGGTTTGGGGTCATTTCCGTGTGAAAAACAGTGTCTGGCGCCTCAACGGTTAGAGATAGAGCCAAACGGACGAAATTTTCGCCCAAAGGGCTCTACATTGATGAGTTACCCCTTAGGAAACATTAAAAAAATATTTTTAAAAAACGTCATTTTGGTGCCCTGTGGTTTTTGATTTTTTAAAAATCCATTTTTTCAGCTAGAATGCTCTACTTCGAACTTGATCTGTCTTTTTATGATACAAAACGACCCTAAAAATCCCAGGTCGCTTGCTCAATTTGTTCTCGAGTTATCGTGATGACAGACAGACAGACAGACAGACACACACACACACAGACACACAGACAGAAACTTTTTGATCACTGGAGTAATAGGCTTCGCTAATCGCTC